CATATCGTTACCTTAATATAGAAAGGCCCTAACTCATAGTCGTTGAAATACAAAATTTCGTAACTAAGTAAAAATTCAAAATTCCCTTTTGATTGATTATGATGCATTCATCGAATTCTAAGTCCCCACATCATTTTAAGTAATACAAATTTTTAGTTAGTTACGGTTTTTTTTTGCATTTCAGTTAGCGCCTTTCTATATTAAGGTAATGGATATGTACATTCACTCAATTTGTAAACTTTCTCCAAATAGCCCATTGCATTTACACGCAAAATTACTTTCCATATGGTACATATGGCAAGCTTAGTCAACCGACATGCACCAAGTGTTAATTTCTTTGGAGGTTCTCACGCTGGTCTCATTCGTGTTCTAAAATCAGTTCTTTGAGTTATACATATGTACTCATTCGACATCTATTTATAATTTTTGCAATTGATAATTATTGTTAACTATTTACGTTTTTAAATTGGTACAAAATTTTACTTTTTTATTATGTGTAAAGCCGATTGGTGTTTAAATAAATAAATAAAAATAAAAATAAAATAAATATATAATATATTATATACAATATATTGTGTATAATATATATATAATATATTATATACTTATTATGTATAATATATACATAATTTATTATATACAAATATCGCACAAATTCATAAATGTATTAGTTAAATTAAACACACTAGAGCTTAACAAAATTTAAATATCGATGGTCCTCTGCAATAATGACAATTCAAAAAATAAAAACTCTTACTACTATTAAGTGGATCATGCCTCTAAACTTTGTCTAATCAACGTATAATCCTAAATAGTAAGGATTACTACAGTAAGTAGTAAGGAATATAGACATGAGCCACTTAACTGTATTACGAGTTTTTATATTTTGAATTGTGCCGTTATTGCAGAGGGCTATCTTACATTTTCACAAAACTACTTTCCGATGTTGGTACTTATTTGAGACTTAACTGTCATCACTGATGTTAATGCTGACCTTATATGTACATATATCGCTTGTTAGAAGAATTTACTATTCTATTTGAATATAAGCCCTCGATATATAGATTAGAGCCCTTGGTAAAAATCGGCCATCCGCTTCTTCGCATGTACCATGTGGGTATTTCCATGGTTTATATTTGAAATATATATTACCTACATGA